AAAAAAAATTAAAACTATACCATATTTCACACCAGAAACGCACTGAGTTACATACACTATCCTTAGAAATATTTTTTTCAAAAGCCTTCCCTTTACTGCAGCACACAGAGGAATCAATATTCTCCGCTTCGACGTTGAGCAATTCCAGTAAATTTTTCCTTAAAAAGTGTAATCTTTCTCTGCATGGTAAGAGTTAGTTTTTTCATAAAACAGACAGATTATCAATACTCATAGCCCTTCAATTAGAAACTGAACATGCATGGAACGAAATAGCAATCGGCGCAACAGAAGCTAGGGAGTGAAAAATCGAGAGAGGCTTGGGACGGGTCGAAAAAAGAACGACCCAATTCGACCCAAGCTTCCCTCGCTTTTCCACTCCGCTGTTACTGTCACGCCGTTTATTATTGCGCTTCGTCTTAACCTAACTGAACGACTGGAACAGGGTACAACACTCACTATTTGCCTGTTTGCAATGCTTGAGAGCCTCACTGAAATCTTTACATAAAGTGATTTCTGCTTGGTTCTGAGCACACTCCACAAACTGCTGTAGTTCGTACCGGCATGGCTCATGATTCTGCTGCTGAAGATCATAGTGTTGTTGCTTTGATTCTGTGCCTCCTCGTGTACCAAGTAGAGCTTCGCTTGCGGCATTACCCTGAAAACAAATGAGTGTCTACGAGAATTTAAAGACCTCTCTACTGTAGCTCTTCGTAACTCTCTCTCTTTCATCGTTCCTCCCCTCTTCGCAGGAATCGTATCTGATTTCACTTTCAGATGCAAAGGGTTAGGCTTTCCTCATATTTATATCAATCTACATCTAGTTGATAGATCCACATTTTTTATGTCTTTTTTTATCCAGGTCCGTATTAAAAGTTCAAAACAAAGAGGAGTAAGGTAAAGAGAAATTTGAGTTTCCTCTTAATCATGTGATAACTATTTATCGCGATTCAGTGAAAAGAAACGTCATCAACCATTTTTCTAATAGATCGGTAAAGTCAAGAGATTTTATTGCGTTGTTAACTTCCAACTACTTTGCCTTTGCACGGCGTCAACATGGGATCAGTTCTAATCAGTTAGTGTACTTAAGCAGTCGGCCAAAAGCGTAGTGGAAATTAAATGAGAAGCTTCTGTTTGGGGTTTTAGCGAAAGCCGAAGGCAGTCTCAACCCCATCCTGAGGGGCCAAAGGTAGCCTATCTACTGGGATTAGCGAAACGACGCGCCTTACCACAACCGAACCGACTGCTACACCTGCAGCTGTGGAAGCCATTTGCCCAAACAGTCCAAGAGGTTTTGGTTCCGGTTGAGCCAGGTTAGGAGAAGATCTTTTTTCAGGCACGGTAGGGCTCTGCTTTGACGAGCCTTGAGATGATCGTCTTTGAGCACGAGGCATAACTGTTAAGTATCTTCACGAAAATAACATAAAAATTTAGACAGCAAGGTAATAGTCGTCCGCAAGAAAATTTCGAGGCTGCTCCGAGGATCAATTGATGACGTTCTATCGTTAAAGTTCAATTGATGTGATAATTACTTTGACGTCATTAAGATCATTCCATGCGAGAATCGACAGAGTTCTCTTAAGTTATCGATTCTTCATCTTCAGCGAGCTCTTGAATCAGTTCAACTATTTTAAAGTGCTAAAGGAGTATCTGCTCCAAGAGTATTTGTTTGCATGCGATGAGCTGAGGTTATTCAATGCCGTAACGCTTTCGCAATATTTTTTCTTTCAATTGAATAATGAAACTATTATCCAACACATTTTAACGCAAACAAATGCAGACAAGCCTGAAAAGAGCTACTGATAAACAAAGCTAAGAGTAAAAGGCAGACGGCGACGGATCGCCTATTTTAAAACTTAAGATTTCAGAGAATTTGTATAAAATTGGCTGCAATAGTAGTATTTCAAGACTTCAGTGTGATCAATCGGCTCTTACTCGCTTGTGCGTTGGATTCCACGACACGATCACGTTAACAACATTTATTGCTTATCATACTTTTAAGCTCGCATCCAAACTATTTAACGACTGGCTTCACTGATCTCATGAAGTAGAGGACCACAGCTTCTTTCCCAGGATCGTAAGAATGAAGTTTAACCACGCATATAAAATTAAGACAGGGACGGGCGAGTTATAACAGTATTTCAAGGGCTCGTTTCGTTTCGCATTTCTTGGGCTCTTTAGTGCGCAGGATGCTTCATATTTTCCCCAATACATCTGGTGCTATCAAACACAAGACTGTTGGCAAGGACTTAACAATCATACATATAATTTTTCACGGATGTTTTTATGGGCAATCCAAAGCTATACTTGGTGGACAAATTATGTGGAAAACCTGACTGGTCCAATGAACAGGAATACACAGTATGCGCTCTCGTTGGTTTTTTGATTTACTTGCATTGTCACATACGGGAAGTCACATTTATGTGTACCTACAAATAAATCTTCGACTACCCCTACCTTATCAGAACGGAAATCATACGATGTACGACTCCTGTTTATTTCAAATTTTGCAATTGGATTTTTATTATTCAATGCAATAACAAGAATTCCTCAGTTCAAGCAAATTGCCAAGTGCAAACACCTTTTTACAAGCATCCAAGCACCTTTTATAGCCAAAAAGAGTATTTGTTGTGTGATTAAGAAAAGCCAGTGATCACAGCAATGAATCTTGCTTGTCTTCACATCTGGGCAGCTGCACAAGCATCCACAGCGATAATTTTTCTCAGGAAAGGCCTAAAAAGCACCAAAAAAATTAACACACCTTTGAACTTAGAGCTCCCAGGCAAAAAGTGTCTAGAACAAAAGTTGACTGCTAATTACAACATAGTATAAAGAAAGGAAAAGCAAATTGGTAAAATCATGTTTTGATTGTAGTTGCTTGTCAAGGAAAGTTGGAAGATTTGTGGGTGGATTTACCACTTTCAAACAAAAAAAAACAAACATGTGGGGAAGATATGATATAACAGAGATTTGGTGTTTAAAAACAGCAAAACCATCTTGAGCTACCTTAATCACATACACAACAAATAAATACCAACAATGTCATCCCAAGTAAAAAAAAGGAGGTTAAACCGAACACTCCTCACCATTTCTAAGTTTGCATTCCCTGAGCACCTCATTAAATCCCTGGCACAGTGTAATATCTCCCTGATTCTGCGCGCACTCCACAAACTGCTGCAATTCATACTGACAAGGACCCCCCAGACCCTGCTGTTGTGGAGTAGAATAACTCTGGTATGGCGCAGCAGCCATGTCTTGTTGATACCCAGCTGGTTGCTCTGATCCACCACCATGGCCACCAAACAAGGCACCACCAATAGCATGACCCTAAAGACACAGACAAGGTATGTTTTGTACAATTATCTACTCCAATATAGATCAATGTTTGGTTGCTATGGTAGAAGACGAGACTTAAGCAAGAGGTTCATGACCACTATTCGTTGGGCTGTACAACCATAATTGTCACAACTTACTACATGTCTTTGAGTATTACTTTTTCAAAACATTATGTGAAACAACAACACATTTTGTGCTAGTTCTGACCAAAAGGAAGCCTGAATTTCAGAAATCTCTTCACTTCTTCAATTTCCACAACAAAGTACAGTAATTACTAGATACTTTCCATTAAGATAATGGACTAAGTGACCTGAATAATGGCAACATCAAGTGGAGATTAAGTTATGCATGCCTTGGACAGTGCTGCAACTCATTTACATGTCATTGAATAAGAATAGCGTCTATTGTGTTTTCGATCTTTGACACATGTAAGTAACAAATTCTGAAGTTTAGCCCTGTTTTCTGTTTAACAAATAAGTTCCATGTTGCTGTGCATCTTTACAGAATTATATAACAGATGATGTCAATATGTGGTAAAAGCGCGAAGAAAAAAAATGATAAGAACAAACACAATGGCACATGAGGCACAGCCAAGTGTGTATATTCTAACCAAACTTTAACCTCTTTTATGATCATATACGGTACAGAACCTTGGAAACATGAAAGCTACTTGTTTGATATGATAAAAGACCACTGGTTTACAATCTTTTCTTAGAAATAAGAAATATTGACTTTAGTGTTATATTGATCAGGTATAGAGTAAAAATAGTTTTTGTAAAAATAACAAATTAAAGTTACACAAATTCAAACAACTTTCTGAAGAACACTAGCGTTCACTCCTTACCACGGTAGAACCGATCGCCACCCCAGCAGCAGTAGATGCCATTTGTCCAAACAGTCCTGGCTGTTGTGGTGAAGCCGGCTGAGCCACGCTAGAAGCTGGTCTATTTGCTGGCACACTAGAAACTGGCCGCGGAGGTGCTCGGGGCGGCGCTGATGCCTTACCAAACATAGGAGATGATCGGCCACTAGATCGTCTTCCACCACGAGGCATTTTTATGAAATCTTATATCAACTAACTTCGTAAAAGTACCATTAACTTATGTAATTTATTGGAATGAAACAAAATGGCGTCGACTTCTGATGCAAACTCAGCCGTAATTGGCTCATCATGACGTTACCTTCCCAGGTATCATTGTTCCAGATAACTTGTCCCCAATCTTCTCTCAGTAAAATTAGACGTTACTGTTGCGTTACTTTTCAGAATTCATAATCGTGTACTGTAACTAGCTTATAAATATACTCTGCATGTAGGGAAAATGATTAAAACGCTTCAATTATAACGTTCTTTCCAAGAGCTTTTATTATGACAGAGGTTTGTTTTAAAAATGATCTCTCAACATCTGCGATCAAACACCTCGGATCGGAGTCAGTGAAGTTTCACAAACGAAAATAGATAACGGTCTTTCAATATTCTTTTAATCATATGTACAGTTTTCTTATTGATTTTCTTTCAATCCGTTTATCACTTACCCGTAAATTGGCTTTAAAAAGCTCTCCAGGGAGAAACTACATAAAACAGTTATTTGCCTCAAATAATACTTTGATTAGTTGTTATGGCAACAGTGAGTAAAATGGTCAGTCCATGTAATCGAGGCCTAGCACGGCTGAAGAGGCATTCGACAGACGTGAAGGATGATTAACTATCAATGTTTATGACTTTAGCGGAGTGTCTGCACCCTAAATTATGGAAGAAGGATCGGAAAGGATTTCTACACCGATCCGCTCACCTTCAGAAAAAGATTCTGTAATTCTTAGCCGTGCCAGTGCGGCCAGTTCGCCCTTTGGCTTTCGCAAGGTAATCGTATACGTTCAAATTAAGGTAACCTCTAGGCAGCTTTCAGAGGTTGTTAGACACTAAAACATTGAAAATGTTTTGATGGATTATAGGCTGCGCTCAGCCCTCCGACTGGCATTTTACGAAGAGAGTCCACAGGGTCTTTATCACCCGAAGATGACTTCTTTCACAGTGCTCAGGATAAGGAAGACGATGAGGGGTTTGATACTGACCTGGAGATGGAAGGTAAGATAAATTTTGATTACGGTAGAGATCTTCTATCGTCAAAACTTAAATATATACGGTTTCGTGTAACAAATGATGGAAGCGAAACGAACTGAAATGACCAATTAGAACCTATGAATTATTTAAAAGTGATTTTCAGAACGAAATGCTCATTGCACTGAAGAAGAAAGTCCTTAAACGAGTTTCACTTTTCTAAGAGTTTATTTAATGAACAGGATTTCAAGTACTCTGCCAGTAATATCCTAACAGGTGTCTTTATTCTCGCAGTCTTAATATTGTATGAAATATCGGCGGAGTTTTCAATTGTTGTTGTATTGGATGGGATGTCTTTATCAATTATTATCCTACCGATAAATTTTTACTTAATTAATCCCACAAGGATATTTAAGCTTGATCAGTAAACCGATTCCACATAAGAAACTTTTTTTCCGAGGTATTTTTTTCTTCTTTTTTCACTTTAAAATCAAATTTTGCCTCGCGTCTCGAAGGAATTTTTGCGTGTAATAACATGCAAATTAAAGAACGATACGCTTACTACTTTAACAAGAAGTGAATATGTTAGAGTGTTTCTCTCACGAATGTTTTTGTCATTTGAAGGATGAATTTTGTAATTGTGGCTACTCAGGTTTTGCCTGGAAATTGATGAATTACACGTTTAAGCAACTCGTTCTTTTTGTCAAGTTACACGGATAACTATTCGGATTTTAGTGTGATGAAATTCCGTGACTTTTTCCCAGACATGGGCGATTCCATTTCTTATAATAACGTCTATGCATGAATTGTTGTTGAGGGAATTGCATTTGTTATTTAAATTTCTTTTGTTTCTAAATATAGCATTAACAGCTTTGCTGCAAAAATTCCAATTAATAGTTTTGTTCAAACCATCATTTTTTTTGCAGGTATTAAGGTATTGCGCTAGCAAAATTTATCGAACATACTGACCTCTATCATGTAGAAGCCCAAAACTATTTTCTAGAAAAAAGCTCACTTTCATTAAATAAATACCTTATGAAGAGAAAGATATTTTTCGTCTTCTCACAAAAATGGGACAAAGGATAAAATTCTGAGTCTCCATGAGGAATCGAACCTCAGGCCTTCAGACTCCGTGGTCTGATGCTCTATCAGTGAGCCCCAGAGACTCTACTGTGAGCAAGGTCTACTTTGAAGTTCATATGACATGTTTCCTGCATACTACTAGGATCAGCAATGTCGATAGCATCATGTTTGTTAATGGAATAAGAGAGATGGCAAGTTTTGAGCTTGGTAAAGAAATAGAGAAATATGCTTTTCGTCTTGTTATGAGGGTGGAATCCAAAGGTCTGAGTTTTGATTCTCTATGGGGACTCAGAATTTTTTTCTTTGTTCCACGCTTGTGCAAAGACGAAAAACATCTTTCTCTATTTCTTTAACAAGCTTCAAACTTTACAAATAATTACAAATTATTTTTTATGCATTCTTCCACAATTTTAGTAACAATTTATTTGCCTTTTTTTATATTATTACAGAAGGTAAAGAAGAGTATGATGTAACTGGAAGAGCAACTTATCTCCAAGCTTGCAGGGATTCTGGTGTCATTCCAGTTTCATATTTTCATCGAAACTTGCAACAACCTGACATTGACATCAAGCATCATGGCTTAGGACCAATGGGTGCTAAGGCAATAGCTATAGCTCTAGTGGTGGGTGTCATGGTCAATTTTTCTGGTTATCCTGTGCAATGAAAACACTGCCTCATCTCCATCTAACTAGGTGGAGGGTTGTGGGGGGAGGGGAGGGGAGGGTGAAGTGCACTGACTCACCTCTTCCCTCCCAATGTGTGTTGATGAGGCTATGTTAAGATGGAAAATGTCCTTTGTTACTTTCATGAAATGACTTTAAAGAATACGTGTGTATCTTTAACCCTCTAACTCCCATGAGTGACCAAGACAGAATTTCTCCTCACTATATCTTTTACAATATCATGTAGATAAGTGATGAGAATAAAGAAAAATATCAATATCAATATATATAGGATTACTAATTGATCTGATTCTAAATTCTCCAAACTAACATAATGAGAATCTTTTGGATGACAGTAAAGAGAATTACTAATGACATCTTGAGAGTTAAAGGATTTAGGTCAACTGTAATTAAACTCATCTTTTTAACTTTTATAGAATCTCAGGTACTCAAGGAAGTACAGTTGTATACTGTATGTGTTTGTTGTCTCATGCTGTTCATTGGACACCAATTTTTATTTTGCATAACAGACTAATACATCAGTTATCAAGTTAAACCTGGCAGATAACTGGATTGGTTCAGAGGGAGCTGGATATATTGCTGAAATGCTACGAGAAAATTGTTACATTGCTGACCTGGTATGACATTATAACACATTTGTTTCTTTTCTAGCAGTTTAGGTATGGTTTCAGATAGTGATCATTGAATATTGCTGGTATTATTTACTCTCACCTTTAACATGTTAAAATAGATGCACCCATAGTATTCAATTATTCTTTTTTAATTATTTTGTCTCAAAGGATTTATCAGAAAACAAACTGGGTGCAGATGGAGCAGAATCTGTGAAAGACATATTACTTCATAACTCAAATATCACCAGATTTGTTGCAAATGGTGAGCATAGAGATCATTTCTGACAAGATTTGTTTGAGCCAACCTGTAAGGTTATTGAGTCCACAAGAGAAAGTTCAAACAGTTGAGAAAGACTAGATGTTAAAGTAGAAATGACAGAAAGTAGTTAGATATTAGATCATTATCTGTACTACTCCAAACTACTCTGTACCATCCATTTGCTGTGACGAAGTGTTGGAGACTGGGCTGGAATGTTGTTGAGTTTTGATTGACACTGCATGTGACTGCAGTCATGCATGTCTGTTTGGAGAGATTGTTTTTTTTTTTTTTCTTAGAAAAAGGCATGGGAGAATAAAACTACAGTTGTGTTTATAGAAAGAAAACCTGTAATAATTACATAATAATCACAATTATTGTGAATTAAGGATACTAAAGTTCTATTGCCACAGAGGCATCATCGATAAAAGAGCCAACACTGGAAATGTTAGCTTTAGTAACTCAGTCGATAAAACCAAATTATTTTGTCATACCCTCACTGATGCAGCACCTCCTTTATCCATACTACTGTTAGGGATGGTATTTGTTATTGCTTGCTCCAAATCAGGAATATCTCACTGCTTTTTTTAAAAATTAATATTATCTTCTAGGCAATGGTTTTGATGACAAGGCTGTTCAGATTCTGGCAGAAGCTATAAAGGTAGGGGAAACCCTAGTAAAAGTATAAACTAAGTACTTTCATTAACAAATGAACAAACTTTTAACAATGTAAATTTTCTCTACTCTTTGTTTTAGAATAATACCAAAGTGAAGTATTTTAGCTTGAGTCATAACCAGTTGGGAGAAAAAGGTGGCCAGAATTTAGCCCCTGCAATAGGTAAGTAATATTTTTATATTTATTTAGTTAGATTTAGTCAATAGTTATAATTCTTTTGAAATTAGAGGTCACAAGATTTCAGGAATGATAAAATCATCGTAGTATTAACCAATATACAATGAAAGAATTTGCTTGAATTTTTAGGTTGTGGTATAATGATTTGACTGGTCTAAAGAGCTCAGGGTAGTATCCTTATAATTTTTTTTCTCACTAGCTGCAAATGATAAAATTGACCATTTGGATCTGAGCTGGAATCATTTGAGAAATAAAGGGGCTTGTGCTGTGGCATTATCTCTGAAGGTTAGTTGAAGTGAATCTTGTCTCTACTTCTCACACTAGCTATAGATAACAAAATTCATCATTCAACGTTCCTTCTGATCGTCTTTCTTGATAATGGAGAATGGGTAAACAAACTTTCCTCTGTCAGACAATAGAGGAGTAGGTTATGATAATACACCTTTCAAACTTGTTTCAGATTGTATTTTAGTGACAGTGCCTGGCCATTCGTTACAGCACTCTTCATTTTGATAAAGAGAAGTCTTAAAGATACATTTTAAATACTACTATGATTTTATTTTATTTTTCAACGGGTTTAAGAGCCCAATTGAGTGATCGTTGTGTGTTGATTCTGTTTTAACTGTGGGAGACACAGTTAAAACAGAGGACTCTGGCTCAAGAGGTCTGGGTTCCAGACCTGGCCAGGTCGATGTGTTGTGTTGTTGGGCAGGACACTTGACTTTCTCAACGCCTCTCTTCACCCAGGAGAGTAAAGCAAATAGTCAGGAAAGCCTGATGAAATGCTGAGGGGGGGGGGGAGGTAATTGGCATCCCATCAAGGGAGGGGTAGTAATACTCCTAGTTGCTTTATGCTATGGAAACAGAGATAAGCTGCGGCTGGGTGGGCCACTAATGGCTCAAGTAAACCTTAAACTTTGCTTTAACTATTGCAGGAGAATTTTACTCTTAAAATTCTTAACTTAGCATGGAATGGATTTGGAAATGATGGGTCTTTAGCCATGGGGGAAGCGCTAAAAGTGAACACAACGTTAAGAGAGTTAGATCTGACGTAAGTGGAAAAAAGAGGCTTTATCATTTAGATTGCTTATTGTATAAATAAAACGAAAGAGATTCCAACATCCAGCAAGGAGGAAATGTTACAAGGAGCCAACCAGAACTCAAGATAAAAGCAATTGAATTGCTGGAAGTGCAAGAAATAGTGGGTGACAAAGGCGCGATCGGTTTTAGGTTTTTATGATGGGTATCTTTCACCTCTGTTTACCTCCATTTTGCTAGCTTTAGGAAAGGGAATGTTTAGCTGTCTGTTTCAAGCGGTGAATTACTATGAATCATTTGAACTATTTTGAAAAGCAGATTTTTAATTGGGCATCTAAGATTTTATGATCATTTTAATTTCAGGAATAACAGAATAACAGCGGAAGGTGCAGTGTATTTGGCGAAAGGTTTAATGGTTAACACGTGTCTTCAGGTGTTAAAGGTAGGCCTGCAAATTTTTCACATGGTTTGGTTTTAGTAGGCGAATTCCAATATTTGCGTTTATTTCTATTCCAGTGATTTCTAAATATTTATTTATTTGCCTCGTTTTACAAAGTTGTTGTTAAATTATTTAAAACTTTGTTTTAGATCGGAAAGAACCCGATGCAAAGTCCTGGAGCGTATGCTCTTGTGAACGCCATGAAAAATAATCTGGAATCAAAATTGATTGAGGTTGAGCTGACGGTGAGGCTTAGAGACATGAAGAAAAACTTTTTCCTTGTAGATAAGCTTTTCTAATTTTACAATTTAACTCAACTCCTTATCGCATGAAAGTCGGAGATAAAAGGGGTCTTTATGAAGACAACAATCTATTGTCCCTTAAAAGGAATCTAAAAGTTGGAATTTCACCGACTGATTAACGAGGTTATACTGGAGCAGTTCTTGGTTATGAATTTTATTTGGCTGTTCCCTTTTCAATGGAACAAGAGCCAGGTCTCCATATAGTCTCTAAGTGGGCCATGCTTTACAGTTTTGTTAATCAATATCGCTCATTAGAGACTGTGTTCGTGTCGTGGTCCTGGAAAACCTGGAAAGTCCTTAAATTTTATTTTGACATTTTCCAGGACTAGAAAGTCCTGGAAAAGGACTACAGGTCCTGAAAAGTCCTGGAAATCTGGCGAACTCAAGCAAAACATTTTTCAGAATTTACGTTATGAGAAATCTATGTAGACCGTAAGGAGAATTGATTTTGAAATCATGGGAAAAATCAATCTGAGACGTGGAAAAGTCCTTGAAATGTGTTTCTGAGACAGGGTACGAACCCTGTAGAAAAAACAAACTTGCAATTTTTCGGAGACGCTATCGTGGTAGTGGCTATCCTAAGTCTACAAAGATTTCTCTCTTCTGTAAGCTTCTTATACGGTTGATGCACTTTTTAGGACATCACGGTTAATAATGACTTTGTGGAGTTATGTAAGGAAGTGCAGCAACTTAGACCTGACATGAAAATTAGACACGGAGGAACAGGGGGTGCACCATTTAAACCCAAGAATCGTCCAACGCCCATGAAAATACTAAAGAATTACATAGAGGATAATAAGATGCGACTGTTGGATCTGTTCAATACTCTGGACAAGGATAAAAGCATGAATATCACTGTGAAAGAATTTGCTGATGGATTAAAGGTGAGGTCTTTGTCTGATCTATTTTCAAATATGGATTGTAGGTGTATATTGGCTAATAGAATGACTTGTATGTCCAAATTTGGTCATGTTCGAGCCCATTCTCACCGGTAACAACTTCATAAACTAGCGCTTTCCTCTTGACCAAACAGACGCTGAACCAAAACATTGTGTTACATTGCTATTCGCGCTTTCCCGCGCTTGGGGTCGTTTGAACGTTTGTCCTTTGTTCGTTCTGATTGGCCAGTATGTTTGCCCTGGTTCTGGTTGTATTCAGTTCAAAAATGCTCTATTGGCGCTTTAACTCCTAGAAGTGATCAGCATGTAACTTCTCCCTAAAATATCCACACATTATGCTGCAAACGATCAAAAAACCAAAATCACATAACTAATTTACAAGGGAATGTGTAGCAGCTAGAGGGGAGAATTAACAATCAGATCTTGGGAGTTTAACGGTTAGCAAATGCGCATATGAAATTCAGGTTGTGATATGAGATGTTCTTTTTTGTGGCTGTCTCAACAGGAAACCGGAATTGACATGAATTATATAGAGCTGTACAAACTAATAGAGAGCTTAGACAGAAACAAAGATGGCGAAATTAATTACAGGTACGTGGCAAGTGTTTTTATTGTTATGACTTTTCTAGGAACTCAACTCATTGTGTGAACATTGTTTGAAGTGCACTCCAAGGGAATTTTACACAACCACAACTTTCTAGACGTGGAAAAAGATAAAAGCATTCATAGGATGGGTATAAGTCTGTAGTTATTTTCAAGCTAGAGCATATGCTCGGTTTCTGTCTGCTTTTTTTAAGGTAGCCGAATTTATCGTTAATTACGCGACCAAACATTTTACACGGTTTGATCGTTAAATTTTCAGTCTTTGGGCAAACCCCCGAAAACTGCCTCTCTCTTCTTTCCGTTTGATCTGACGCATTTTCCACGAGTTTGGAAAATGAAATTTGCATAAGGGTTCGGAAAAAGTGGAAAATTTTGATTTCTGTGTAATAATTATAATAATTTTTTTTTTCGTTGTAGTGAACTGGTGATGGGTTCTTTAGAGCAACAAATAGAAGACCGGAAGGAAAAGATCAAAGAAAAGGCGCAAAGTGCGCGGAGGAAAAAAATTTTATCACCCTCATGATAATGTTTATTTTCCCAAACTGTGAACTCTTTACTGTTTACTTCACAACGTCCAATCAGAGTGAAGGTGAATAAGGAACCAGTGAGAACTCAAAGAAAAAATCAAGCAAACGTCCAAAAGCGCGGGAAAACGAGAGTAACGTAGTTGTGAGTAGTTTTGATCAGCGTGATGTGATTGGTTGAGAGGGTGGCGCGGGTTTCCAGGAGTGTGAAGTAACTCCTAACCAAAGCTATGGCGGGTCACTTTCGAAAATCAATCAAAAATTGCTGTTAGGAAAGGTAATTCTTACAACTTGAGGGCAATTGTGAAATTGTGAACTCTATGCATTTAACCAACTTTTGTGTAACTGGAGTTAAAACGAACATCCTCAACCTCGGTAAATGAAATGTTGTTGGTATTCAACATGTTGGCGAAGGCGAAAGCAGCTGACAGATTACCAGTTCAAATAATTTTATTTTTAAGCTGGTAGAAATCTCTTGAGTAATTAGTTCTTTCAGTATTTATAATTTTCAGTGGCCATTGGACCTCCTTCTTATGAGGACTTGGAACACTAGACGAGTTTTTCTTCCTCAATGCGTAGCTTGTTTACTTTATCTCTCATGTAATACGTGTTCTTTGATTGGTTAATTAAGCGAGCCGTACATCGCTTTGCAGCACGCTAGAATGTGAAGCTGATTTTGTTGCAAAAGAATCGATTGTTTTTTTTCTCTGATTTATTTTTCACTGCCGCGTAATCCGAACTTTTTCTTCAAACCTATCAGACAAATTAGTAATATGATAAGCTTAATAGTATTACAGTTTCACTGCTACTAGAAGCAGCAGCCCGGTAGCAGTGCTCTTTCAACTAAAAGATACAAAATAGATCATATATATTTTAGGGAAGAAGGAAAATTCTTGTATACTAGCTATAATAACTGGTAAAGATAGTTGTAAATACCTATTTTTATAAAGTTTAGATATTGTAAATGGATTAAGTAAAAATGTCTGTTTTTTTATGCATTTAACAGTCTACTTGTGGCCTTGTTTTACTTACTGTTTTAGCATTCCGTTATGGAGCCTTTCTCTCTTTTTTTAAAGCCTTTGATAACCAATGTTCTTTGTTCCTTATCTGATGAAATCCTCACCGGGTTTAGTCTCCTGCCTAATCATATGTGAGTGCAGTTATTTTAAGCAGGTAATTTAGTGTTAACAACTGAGTTGAAAACGTAAATTAGCCACCGTAAAGGGTAAAAAAGCTGACGTTCCGAGCGTTAGCCCTTCGTCAGAGCGATTAGAGATATTGTAAGGTGAAATTAGATGCTATTTGTACCCTTTACGGTGGCTAATTTACGTTTTCAACTCAGTTGTTAACACTAAATTACCTGATATACTCTCCCACCGACGCTGCACCACAGTTTCTTTAGAAACTTACCCCCTTTATTCAGTTATTTTAAGGACTCTAGATCTTTACTGTGAACCCTCATCATCATCCTCATTCCCAGGCTCTCTCTCCTTTGCCTCTCTTGACTTCTCTCCTCTCTCCTTGACGAAAAAGATCGCAAAGCGGAAAGAGCCTCGGAACGAAATAGATCCATTGCCTCGTGTGAACGTTTATATAAGCGCGCGCTATTGACGATCGTATTCATGACGTCACAAAAGAGCATAGAGTGTGTTGAGCACTTCAAGGTTGATACAGGTAAGCAAATACCATTTCTCAGTTCTAATCGAATTTACTGCTGTACTTTGTATTATTCTAATCTACATGCGAGGTTTTTCTTGTGACGTAACTAATGAATGTATTTATCAAAGGATGTGATTTGTGTGACTGCTTCTAAAAACTTATTTCCAGTTTACAATTCATTTGTGTTATAAATTTAGTGAGGAACCCAGGCATGGAGGAAAGTTCGCAATCGGATAAAGAATTTGAGTGGGATCATCTCAATATAGAAAAGAAGCATGAACTATGTGGTTAGTTCAGATATTTGGTCAGTTATGAAGGGTTTATTCCACATGGAGTTGATTAGTGGTAGAGCCATTTTTCTCATATTTTATTATTTCTCTTTTGCAGTTCAGCTTCTAAAAAAGACGAAGCGCGAAAAATCTGTTCTGTTTGTAAAGAACAAAAACCTGAAAAATACGATCAAGAATATGGAGATTGAATTGTGTAAAATAAAGGACGCTTTGAGGGTAGAGGAATGCAAATTTCTTCAGCTGTATGAAAAGCTCAATACAAAAACGGTAATATGATAAAATCTGCTGGTGTCCGCCCAACTTCGTTCTCGCGGCTGGGCATTCCATCCGTTTTCTTCAAACGCTGGTAAAACTAAATATGTTTACTCAATTTATGGCGATGTTTTTCAGAGGGAAAGACTTGAATCGAAAGCTAGAGAGGAGAGACTCTCTGAGAGCGTGGACATTCTTCATTCTAGGTTGCAGAGAGAAATTTCCAGGCGAGAGCTTTTGGAGGAAAAAATCAAAATGGTAAGGGGACATCTCTGTAAAGGGTTCCAGGTTTTGAGCATGGAGCTAATTGAGGGTGGTAAAGAAGGATTCAGAGGGTGGGGAAGGGAGCTTAGGGAAGGGGAGCCCCTCCCCCCGGATTTTTTACACCATTGCTCAACCACTAAACTCCCTTTTTGTGTATCGAGTGGCTTGGAACATGGCATCCCTTTCATATAAAAGCAGTGAAAACAGTGGATTCCATTCTATCGAATCTCGATGAAGTTCTAATTACAAGTGAACAGCACAAGAGAATTGTGATGGTTTACATGCGAGTGTCTCAAAATATACCGCTAAACACAGGTGGTATTTCCCGACACTTATCGCGTATCTCAGTTGAGTGGGGCATTCCCTCATGGTACATAGCAGAAATTTCCCGCGAGACTTTTGTAACCCCATGAATTTCTGAGTTGGCTTGTTTTAGACTTCAGGTTTGCTCTATTTTTGCCTTCTTGGAGTCTCACGAGAAGGAACTACTGAGAAGGAGCGCGGGCTCATTTTCCTGAACAGCAGACTGTAATCGAGTTCACCTTCACCTCAAAATTAAAATTTCATACAGGAGTTTCTTCAATACTTCATTTTATTCATTTTTAAGGCTACACAGGAAAGGCCGTTGCTCGGAGTTGTTAGCCAACGATTAACTCAAGTAACAAATGCACTGAGGCGAACGCTGGGAAGGAGACGGAATTCAGTTCGAGACGAAAATCATAGCACCTAACACCTTCTCTGTTGTTGTTTGTTTGTTTGCTTGTTTTTTGTTTTTATTTTATTATTATTACTGACTAAGAAAATTCATTACATAAAAAATAACTTCGACTTTATAACTGAATTTTCAACTTCATGACTCTTCATGACTCTTCAACTTTATGACTCTTCCCGCTAAGCTAAGATATATCCTACAAAAATAATCTGGCAATTTATGGAAGGGTTTATCATCTTTCTTTATTAGTTATCGAATTAAAACAGGAGTCCATTAAAAATGCTACGAATAAAATTTATAATATTAGCAATTCATTGTAAATGGTATCAGCTGATCTGGGACGGTAATTTTAAAATTGTTAAGGTTTTTTTCGTTTAAGAAGTCATTACAATTCTTTTTTATTTTCATCTGAAAATAAAAAGCCACGCTATTAAACATGACGTTTCGGCGACACCATTTCACCATTATCAAATGACAATTTGTTTCCAACATGAAAAAATCGATTATACTAATAAATTTATTTAACTATTACTCCATGAGCGCGCGTTGGATATGAGATGGTAGCTATAAGCAATCACGTATCCAAAAAGCGTGAATGGAATAATTGTTTTACTAATTTCTATTAAATCCTGAACGTTTGGACACTTGGAGCTTTTTTCAAGCTCCGCAACAGTTGGCCCAATGCATTTCCGTGAAAGGTGATTGGGAATATGAGCTGATAACCGGAGTTGAGCGAACCAATATCAGGTGATTAAGACAAGGAATATCTTAAGGAAAATTGTAAACGCCGGGGCCGCTGAAATTTGCCTATATCTTTGCTCCTATATTCCTGACATAACTCGCCATAAATCTATAAACGTCTCTAAGAGAATAAAAACTCTTGAAGTCTCTGAAACGTTTGATCCACTTTGATCCCTACTGAGAGGAACACAACACTTGAGTGAAAGTGCTTTAATGATTTGCAGGCCTCAGGATATATTAAATTTTATTGTGTCAATTTTGTCTATCGGGTTATTTTTGCAAAGTATGAGTGACCGATCAAATTTAATCCTTCATCTTGCAATTTTGTGATGTTCCCTTTTCTTTCATGGAGTATGTGTACACTTATCATCCTTTGAACTCGATCATGCAACCCATCAACGGAGTGGTAGCATTACGCCGTGGCATAGAAATCGAGAAAGATATTGGAGTACCTATATGAACATGGCTGTCTCACTGACTAAACTTAAAATATCTTCATCCCAGTCTTCCTTTCTGAATCTGTCTTGTTTGCACGTCTCGGAGCTATTTCGCATTTTATTTCCGTTTCATTATAATAGTTAATAGATGCATTATTTTTTATACTTTACGTGAGTAACACCCGACGGAATCCCCAGTCTACCCGGCCCAGCCTAATTGGCGAGAAGTCTGAGAACTTAAAACCCAGTCTTCTTTATAGCCACAAAGTGCGCGGATCTCAAAATGGCGGTGTTAGTGGAAGGTTAGTGTGAACGTTATCGATCAATGCTTACGTGTTTTTCGAGGTGTTAAACGAAATTTTGCTTCATGCAGAAAACCGTTTAGTGTGTGACGACAGTCGTGAATGCTTAGTGTGTTGTGGAGTCGTTAAAGAACCTTTTATAAGATGCCGGCAGTGCAGGCCTGCAGTGGATATATGTTTAGAGGTTAGTTTTCTCTTCTAACTGCAACGTTCCTGCGCCGTTTCTAATTCAACACAAAACACAAACTATCTACAAAATGCATGTTTTTAATAAAATTTTGAACTTTGAAATTCTCAACTCGCGCTTTTACTGCTTCTCCCTTGTTGTCGTAGTAGTGTTAAAAATTGCAGCCGCATCAGCTGAGTCTTCATAAGGAGAAAGAGCAAAATTGGACGAGAACACATGTGTTGGCATCGCACTCTGTTTTTTTCCCCTAACATGCCTGTTGAATGTTCCAATTTTTTAGTGTTTTTCCAGAGGAGCTGAAGACAAGGAACACCATAGTGATCACAGTTATGAAATTATAGTAAGTAATTTTCAAGACATTTGAAGGGCAAATGTTAAATCTCATGTCTCACGTGATCTGTGAATAAATCGTAAGTTGCTTCAGACTGTTTTCGTTCTTTTCCTGTTTCCGCATAGTAGTCTAAAAAAATGATGACAAATAAGAAAAAGCTTGAAAAGCACTTTCTTAGTAAGTTTCCTATCTCAGGGGTACATCTGCAAGTAATTACAATTTATCAATAATTATGTAAACAAAAACGACACAAAAATCCATTTTTTTGCCAAATTCTCAGACAAGAAACATTTGAACCACAATACAATTATTTTATTTTGAGGCACACAGAATGTTACTTCATTTTCCAAGGAAATTGTTAATTTGGTCTTACTTATTTGCAGAGCAACAATTTTCCAGTTTTGGAGAAGAATTGGAGTGCTCAAGAGGAGTTTGACCTTTTGAATAGTATCTCTGATTGTGGCTTTCAAAACTGGTGAGCTACTTACAGATTTTCAAAATGTATTTTGTCTTGTAAAGAGGTCTTTAAGAGTATAGTTTGTTGTGTGAAAGTAAAGCTGACAACTCAAGATTTTAAAAATTTTTCACTGTCTCAGGACAGAGGTTGCCAAGCAAGTTCAAAGCAAAACAGAAGAAGGTAAATGTATTTGTGATTTTTGTTTGATGTTTTGCCTATGAAACAATGATCACACAACTAATGTTTCCCTAAAACATTTTTTGTCATTATTTTGACATGATTTCATGATTAGAGAAAAATTCCATAAAGTTTGTCAGGTGGCCATAGTGAAATTATTATGACTAAAGTTAATTGTTTTAAAGGAAAGCAAACCCTTCTCAAAATTCATGTTATATGGTGTATTAACTCTTTACACCCTGAGATCAGTATTCATATTCTCCATACTGTTCTCTATATATTTCCTATGGTAATGACAAGGAGAATTTTTTTGATGATCAGGAGCTTCTTGAATTAGTGATCATTTCCTATGTTCTCATCACCTTTATATTCAATTCATGGGTGAGACTGTAAGGAGAAATTAGAAGCCAGTCATTTTTATGGGTTACAAGGTTAATGGCAGATGGTTACTCAAGTAAAAACAGTGATCAGAAGATTCTCTGTTTTTTATTGATCAGATCGTCTACTTCTGTTGAAGTTATGTACTTAAGGTAACTTGATATCAGCCTGATAGTTGGTGATGTTTGCGGTAGATGTTTACTAAGTAAACTGATGCCTGTAAATCAGCATCTAGTTGTCACTATTATTGATACTTGATTTATCTCAATGTTATCTTTCAGAATGTGAGGAACATTACATAAGATGTTATATCGATAAACCTTGTGAGGCTCTTCAGATTTCAGGTAAGCTACTGACATCAATGCTTTTATGTCACAAGTTTTAAGCACAAAAAGTACTGAAATTAGTAAAGGCGGGGAGTGGTTCCAGTTAGAAACAAGAAAAATTTATTCTAAGTACTTCTGTTCACAAATGTATACAAATTATGCTGATTCCCAAAACTCAGCTACTGTTCTAGGTGAGTATAAAACATTTTTTTTCCACATTTTTATTACTGATGTTGATGTGGTTTGCTTTTTAGAACTGAGGCCTGTCACTGCCTGCACAACATTGCCATCCACAGCAGGCATTCTGTTTAAGGGTAAGTACTAAATCATTTACTTCTTAACCAGGAAACTGAAGGCTGTGACCACACTTTATCGACCAAATTGTACCAACATTTTTGCTTCTTCAGCAAAAGCTGAGTGGATAGAGAATGATTTAAATTGATTCTACAGCCATGCTTGGAGTTTAGCATCTTTCTTGCTCTATTTACTCTGAAAATACTGTTGACATTGCTGATTCGAACAGTATGCAGGATATGCATCACATATGAATATAATAATGGCTTAGCTCATTACAGAGTTCTCTATAGCTTAGCATTTGAACATTGGAATATGGAAGCCAAAGGTCAAGGGTTTGATTCTTCTTGTGGACTCTTTGTTCCATGCTCATGATGAGATGATAAACATCTTTCTACAAGAAATGCTCCTTTTGGTTTGTTCTGATATCACAGCTATGGAAGATCCTCCCCGTCCTCCAATGGATTCAGCAAGAAGCTTGGAAATGTCTGGTTACATGCCATGCAGGGGAGATTTTGATGTGGTAATGAGCTCAATTTTTTCTTTTGGAATGAAATTATAAATTTCGGGTTTGTGCCTTAACAGAGGGGCTGTGCCACAGATGATTATGTTTGTCCTTGGGCAGCCTGTTTGACATGGCTTCCATGTAAGCTCTTAAGAGCTTGGTACATAAGATTACTGCAGCAAAAAGCCTTCAGGGACCTGATAATTCTTAAAAAATTGAATTTAAAATTTAAAAAAATTGCTTGTTGGCCAGAAATATTCTAATATCTATTTCAAGGATTTTAAGAGGTGCAATTTACCTAAATTTTTATTTTTAATTGAAGGACTCCAAACATTGTCTTTCACTTTTACATTCAGGAGTATGATAACTACGCTGAAGTTGACATTAAAGATATTGAATTCAGTTCTTCTGATTCCGAACTTCTCAAAGGTTGGACTTAATATGATATTTCATTTTTTTTTATTATGGCCTTACTTGAAAATTATCGAAGAATGAATCTAAAGTTTGTGTTTGTTTGATTGTAGAACTCAAAATTGCTGCCATTGAAATATTTTTGTCAAGGCTACGGCAAAGATTCTACAGAAAAAGGTGAGTTAAGTTGCATTCTTTCCGAGGTTTACGGTCAAGTCGCCCGAAAGTTATCTCGCCCGGCAAGAGGAAGAACGCGCGAGTCACGCACAGTTCGTGCGGCTGAAAAATGTGATAAAATTATGCCTGTTCTTCTGGCTAAGTGGTATACCTCTTGTTTTCTTTACAGAATTGTGAGAAAATACGGACTCATCAACATCCGGAAATGGCAAAGTATGCGTCATGTGCATCAGTTGCGATGTGATGTTAAGCTAGGTTTAAGGATGTTTATTTTTATGTCATGCTAAAACATTTTATCCTTCGATTTCTTTTTTCTTAGCCCTCGAGCGAAGACAGTCGAAAACAGAAAGGTACCTAAGAATCTTCTATTTTTAAATTGTAGGGAAGCTATACTTGACGTTGTACAATGTGATAAATAAATATGTTCTCTTGGTTCATAAAGTCACTGTTTAATTTACAGGGAGCTTCGTGACAGCCTCAGACCTTTTGCTCGTCTTCATTCACCGGATCAACATGAAATATTTGTCCAAGGATTACTAAGTAAGAATAAAAACTCGACATTTATTAACTTTTAAAAATTGCAGTATTTTGAGGTACTTGTACAAGTTGGAATCTACCTTGACGTCGAAAGAAAACGTCACAGTGATGGTTTTATTATGTAGGAAAAATAGCATACATTAAAACAGGTTTTTGTAAATAAAGGAAAGATAGTTGAGGGTTGTGCAAGATTAGTGCGGATTTGAAACATCAGAATTGAGGCATCTCCTCAAGGTACAGCTTAATGGAAGTTAAAACGACGTTATTGTCAGTTTCTGAGATAAAGAAAATGTTGCTTTTGCTTTTCCTTTAGTGGAATCTTTCCTGAAGAAAGAAGTTGTCAGTTTACAAGAATACAGATCCGCGGGCATTCGTACAAGAAAGGGTAGGCGACAGCTTTTTGACTCAGGAGATCAATTATTCCTCCAGAGAGCCATGTTGCAAGCAGTATTAGCCTCAACACTTTACGTGCACATTTTCAACTATCTCTAACATATGGTCGCTGGTAAAATTTACGCCTTTTTGGCCTAGATCATTAGGTACTTTATTACGCAGCGCACTCTTTAGTGCTGTGCCTTATTTAACAGCGAGTTATGTTATTCGGCGTTTTATTTCCACTGCGACAGACACGTGACAATGTGAATTTGCGCGTGGCTCACTACGAGTTTAATTATCAGACCTCAATTTCGTTCCCAGGATCCCTTTCTCTCTCCCTTGCGCAAGAAAGAATTGGAGCTTGGGAACCAGGTAGAGAAAACCTTAGACAAAGCGTTTCATCATAAAACTTGGGTATCCTCGTTAACTTTTATTTAGGAGCAGAGGTGTATGAGCGACTGAACAGGCGTCGTGAAGAAGACAAATCTCGGAGAAAAATGCTGGATGATATTCTGGCCAATATCCAGGTAAAGCTCCAGAAGTGACTTGAAACTTTCTCCAGAAATGAGGAACTTGTTTAAATTTAAACAGCCGTTTGATTTTCACGCCGCAATCTTGATTTATAAGTTGAAAGGCGTTTGCTGTGCGCAATTTATCATACAATGTGGCGAAATGAAGGGTCACGTAACAGTACCTCAAATCCCGGCATTTTGCCCTACGGCACAGACTGTCACGGTTTGTCACGTCACGTCACGGCATGGCACGTTACCCCGCCGCAACTTAAGTCACGGCAAGTTGCCATACGGTACGTTGCCCAGCGGCATGTCATGGCAAGTCACATCACGGCACGTTTCCCTATTGCACGGCACATCACCGCACGGCACGTTTCCTCACGGCAATATGTGTCACCACCTGCGGCGTTTGGTAATTCATCCAAAAATTTATTTTATTTTTTAAACTTGTGCTACTGTACACTTGTTGTTAAAGCGTATTCAGCTCTTGTCAGAATTGTTACGAGAGGAACTTCACACTCCGTGAAGTTCTCGCAGCGTTCGTGAGGTTATGACTTCAAGCGAACTCCTGACAGCATTCATGTCACTTTTTCTTCTTTAGGACGAAAAAGCCTGTCAAGTGTGGCTTCACAGACAGGCTCAAATGTAAGGTTATGTTCTGTTGTATAGTCTGCTACTCTGCTCACTCCTTTTAAGTCAATCAGTTAGGTCGGTCAATCGGTTCGGTCATTCAGTCAGTCAGTGAGACATTCAGTCAGGTAGCGATCAGGCAGTGGTCATACAGTTGCTAGTTGGTCAGTCGGTCTCTTGGTCAATGATATTTACCATCGTCGACCGGTCATTTTATCTCTTGGTTTGTCAAAATTCACTCATCAGGAGTGTCTGAAGGACGACACCAGTCCACGCGTTAGTACTGATCATTACTCAGCGTGCATTGCAAGCTTCTATTTCCCCACCCCCTCACCTCCTCTTCCTTTTGACCGCCCCTAACCCTATTGGTACAAATTTCTCCCTCTCCCTAGCCTTCTACTACTGTAAAAATCGTAGATGGCAGATGTAACTTTCACCAAGAAAATCCCGAGAACTCGCTCGCCAAAATTACACCTGCGCTGTAAGCTAGTCTTGACTTATCAGCACTGTCAGTTGGAAAGGAAATTTCTCTCTTTATCTTTGCTTACTTTTGCCTGGGTCTAGTGCCTTAAAGTTAGTTCTTCAAAGTCGCCTTTGAAAGGCTTTGAAAGTAATAATCATGTTGGTTATGTAAATACTGTCTCACTTTGACTTACCTTTGTAACACTTTTCATTGCAGAGATTCGGGGCAAAGCTTAGCGCCCATTCCACTGCCCAGCTTAGGTAGGTGACAGACTCAGAGTTTGCAAAGTTTGACTCGTATTCGCTGGGCTTAATTCATGCTCTATAGACCTCTAAAGAATTTCATACTCTCCTCTTCCTTTTCAACTTATTTTCGAGACATTGGTTTCGAAGTGAAGAAAAAACAATTAGGCATTTCCAAACATTTTTCGCTATTTCTCATGATCTCCACTCAACTTCCATGAAATTCTAGGAGTAGCCAAAAACTTCTCACTTCCCATGACTTTCCAGCTTTTCCGTAACCTTTATCAACCATGGATTTTTTTTTGTTTTGTAGAAGAAAAACTTCGAAATAGTCAATTACTGAGGAGCAAATGATATAGAGACAGTCAACCTTAAATTTTAAGACTTGTTTGCTGATTTTTTCAGGTCGTAAGCCTGCAGCTCGATTGGACATCAGTGGAACTCCAGGAGTTGAACAACTCAGACCATTAGAGAGAGAGGTACCTGTAATCACATGACAAAGGGACCAGTCACTCATTTTGTGGTTGTCGCGATAAAATTTATATGACCCCCCCCCCCCCAAAAAAAAAAAAAAAAGAAAACAAAAAAGGAAAAAACCTCCCATATTCTTATAATCCCCGTTCATTAACAGTTAATTAGCAGTCAATTTTAATACTCTTCTGGCGACCATTGATCCACCTACGGTCCCCCTGGAATCCCCCCAAAATCTCCCACCCCATCAGCGATATAAAATGACCGTTTACCAACACGATTACTTTCGACGCTTCATATTCTTTTCTTTTTGCCTCATTCAGTTGTGCAGTAATCTGAGGCTGTTACCACATGATTATCAGAATTACAAGTCCAGTCTCATCAAAGAATACGAGAAACAAGGTTCATTACGACTCGCCCAAGCGCGCACTTTGATCCGCATTGACGTCAACAAGACAAGAAAGATGTACAACTTTTTTGTGGAGCAAGGCTGGGTTAAACCGCCTGATAACTAGATCAGTCTGGAATAAAATGAAAATTTAAACCGACTGTCGTCCACGTTTGGTTGTGCCTCGTTTCATTCCAAATTATGAGTCCCTAACAACGCGAGGCGGCGAGTGGTCTGCAAGGGGTCTGGTACTGATACTTGTTAGTGCCAGATCCCCCGGTTAACCTCTCCCCAACCTTTCTCAAATCCTCCCGCGGGCGGAGGAACGCGCGTCCTGTGGCGCTAAATTATGTTATGACCTGCCTGCAGGCTAAATCTAAGAAAATTTGACTGTGAATGAGGGTATTGTGTATTTATGAGTCTAGTTCTCAAAGCATGACATGATTCTTGTGATTCCTTAGACTGACCCAAGGCAAGATGACATGACCCCATGCATAAATACAGGATTTTTACGGCGCAGCCGGAAATCTGTCTCGGTATTCTGCTTTTTGTATGTGGTAAAACTTCACTTTTCTCGTGGGGCTACACGCAAAATTTAAGCGAGGTTCTTTTTCAGCGAACTTAAGGGTTAGTCTCTCCTTCATCTCTGATATCTCTTGTACTCCGTTACAGCATTACCCAATTTTTAGTCAGTTACATTTCGGCTATATTGATCTATATTCCGGCAACCATACGGAGCTAAAAAAAAAAAACCCAAGCACACTTAGTCCGAATCCAATGAATAATAATAGACTTCTTGGAATTTCCTCGTTGATTGAAGGTTTTCGTCGTTTCTAGAATTTGTCGTGCTGTTTATTTTTTTCTATGTTTAAGCAAAGTTTGGACAATAATTTAGGTCATGTGTTCACCTTGAAAGGAAGTGCTTATATGAAATTTTGATGATGTTTGCTTTTCAAGGCAATCCCCCGCGTTCTCCAGAAAACACCTAGGTTTTTTTTCTAGAGACTGAAAGCGGTGACTTGCTATGATACTCAAGATTTCTTATATTCGACAGTAATTAGGTTCACTTGGAATTCTTAAATCCAGCAGATGAGGAAATGTAAGATTTTTCCGCCGAACTTTTGGAATTTTCCCAACTTTTTCAATAATACTTTAGTTTGCAAATATTTCGTTCCCCTCTGTGTTTTTGTTATTTTCAAAGTTCTAGATTTTCGCTCATTAGCGCCAGTTTGAACCAGACATTTGAACATGCTATCATAGTAAAGATGATTATTGCATTTCTTAGAAATATAAATAACATTTTTGGCGAATTTCGACCAAAAAGCGCGTTATTCTTGGTATGGGTGATTAGAAATTAGATTCTCAGTACGTTCACCATGGTAACGGTGTTTGGTAGTCATGCGTGCTTCGGTTCTTCGCCAAAGTTGGACATCTTTTGTGGTCGACGTTTGGTAAGGAAATAACATCAGGTTTATGCTACGATCTGGTTGGTTTTTACTTCAGCTGGATATTTTTGGTAAATGTAAATCCTCTACAGTGGTCAGAGAACATCTAGAAAAGGAAATGCTTCTTAGTTTGAACGCCATGCGTCTCAATGCGTCTGCACTTTTGGTCTTCAATCTCTAGCTATTGGCTAACCCAAGTGCCTCCAAAGACGTGCTGATTTTAGCGGCGATGCATTCACTTCAAACCATGTCGAAAGCTCCGACTCAACCTGCCAACCTTCCTCCTCTTCAAAATCTTCCTTCTTGGTCTAGAAACTCTTTGGGAAGGAGAAAACAGAGGCGGCCCATCATTCGTGACCGCTTGCAGCCCATAAAATCAATTAGGGAAGAAATGGATGAAATCTCAGAGGACAGATCGAACGAGTTGTCAAATTTCTCAGGAAGGATTGTTTCTGCTCCCTCTCGGGGACACGGACTCGAACAAACCCAGAGACTGGATAACATAGAAAAAAGACTAGAATATCTTCGCACGCAACACGCCGAAACTTTAACAAATTTACATAATGAAATAGAACGATTAAAGGCTGAAAACAAAGGTGAGGAACGAAAGCAAATCTCGATTCTTAGTTTATAGATCTCATCATATACCTGCCCCATTGAATCGACCGAGAGACGATATCATTCTCAGTAAAAAGGATCACGTTGGAAAATCGTCGAAATGATTTTAAGGCTATTTTATTGCGTTAAAATTGTCCCGAGAACAGCTAATGTTCGGTTTGCCAAAGAAAACATCAGCTTTATTGGCGCGTTCAAAACCAATTTTTTATTCTTGTACTTTGATAGTTGCGTCAAGATTTCATAATGAAACGACATGTACTTATGTGATATTAAATATGAACATCGTTTTATTGTTATTTGTTGCAGAGCTAAATTTTAAACTGGTAATGGCTCGGACGGGAGTAAACCTATCCAAAGGTTTGTTGACTCAAGCTAAATTAAGTTACCACTGTATGTTTTTTTCCATCACTTGTCGTTTAAATATTCATCATTCAATGATGCCAAAAATTTGCAGTTTCTCAAATTTTGCGTTTTATTACGAGGCTGGTCATCTGTTATTGAAATATCGTTAATTTACTCCTTCAAACTCCAAATGAGAGTGAGTTAATCATGAGTTGATGTCTTCTAAACATGCCTTCACTGTTCATTACCTGAAGTAATAAACCTGTAGGGTGCTTTGTCACAACTTAAGTATTACAGAAACTTAAAGCTGTTAAATAAATAGTACTTAGTGTACATCTAGAAAGGACAAATTTGCATGCCAACGGTATAATCCATTGTTATAATTGTCATATTTAGTTGATTAGTGACGTGCAACTTAAGTTATTTACTTAGCAACACTCAAAATGTTTTCATGTTGAAGAATGATCTTATTGAATTCCAGTGGGCTACCACAATTTGTGGTCACTTTATAGTGATAATGATCTTTAATATTTGTTTATTCTATGATCGGTGGGTCTGCATATGAATGAATGAATGAATGACAGAGACTTTTTTGTCTCTAGATTGTAGGAGAGTTATTGAGGGAGAGGGTTCTCTGAAAAATCAAGAACAAATAAAGACATAACAAAGATTTAAAGTTAGAAATTTCACCTTGTGATGAATAGATTTATGCAGTACTGTTTACTTGAAAAGATCTGACAGTGACCGTTACTTTGGTGTAGGGGATTAAAATGCAATGTCTCTATTATACCCTTGTGATTTAAACTTTTAGATAAGCATGAAAATTCAACCAGTATCTAATATTATCATCAACTGCACATATTAGAGTACAGATATCATGCAAATAGAGTGCAAATATCCTGCAATATTGTAGAGTTGGTTATTTTGTAATTTTAAAAAACCTGTTTTAGTGGTCAGCTTTGCGCACTATGCTTCCCTATCTGCTTTGCTTTTCCTGCCTCATGAGAAATGAGCAGACAGTAAAGTTTGTATTTTGACTTGTCCTACCTGCTCATCAAAATACAGCAGAGCTTGTGAAAAATACTCAGTGATACTACATGCTAAAATGTCTGATAGGATATATTGATATTCAGAGGATTGATTCTTTGCCCTATTGAGATAATTATCATTGACAGAATGGTTTTGGTTGAAGGATGAAGCAAAACCAAAAGTGTTATGTTTATTGAAGTGAAACATTAAATCTGAAATACATTGTTAAACAAACCGTGCATAAAATTTATGTATAAAACTAAAATTGAGAACAACCCCACCATTCTTTCCATTGTTTCAATTTATGAACCACTGATCATAGGGTAACGGTTTCCATCGCCCTTTATATCCTTTAGTCCTTTGTGCTAAACACTGGATAGTGATTTTGGATCATTGTTTTAATGTGATTGAGGGATAAATGCAGAAGTTACACCAACCTCACAAAGTGGTAAAACAAAATAAATGATCTTAAAGAGTCAAAATCTAGTAAACTGTCTAATGTTATTTCTCTCTTATTTTTATCATCAGAAGATGAGACATCTCCTAGCTCTGTGGAAAGTGATACATTACAATCTGCAGACTTAGGTAGGTTTTCACATTTTCATTGTATTGTTTTGTTTACTCCCTATCCAACTTTTTAAGCAATTTTGATGGAATAGGAAATGATATGCTGTTGGTTATTTCTTTATATCTTAACTAATTAACTCTCAAGATCTAGATGTTAATTTTCATCTCTAGCTACTACACATTTCCCTGTAAATTGGCTATGAGAATTTGATGCTAGATCGTAAGAACAACTTGAACTTGATAAGTTTGATTATTCTCATTACCAGTTTGCTGGATAATGTGTGAATATTACAGGGGGAAATTACATGTTAATCACTTCTGAGAGTTGAAGGGTTAATTATTATTTTTGGTGTTTTACTAAAGGAAAGAGTGTGGTTTTAAATTATCACTGTTAGTTTCAGTGGGACGATAAATTTTCACTTTTAATCCTTTACACTGTAATATTAACATCTATATTCTCCATACTGTTCTCTATACATTTCCTTTGGTACTGAAAAGGAGAATTTGTTCCTTGAGTTTATATTCATTTCTTCTATTCTCATGATCTTAATGAATGATTCAGCAGTATTACTGAAAGGAGAAACTAGATGCTGGTCATTCCAAGGGTTTTCAAGGATTGAAATAACAATAGTGTCTTTACATTCCTTAATAGTGATTTAATTGATTTTACAGCTGAAGGTGATCAACTTGAGGGAGTTCACAATGTTGAAGAGAAGAAAAATGATAAAAATCTGCCTTCTCAGCAGGCACAGACAGTTAAAGAATCTTCTAACACAAATACAACACAAGAAGTGTCAAACTCAAGTGCAAAAAGGAATAAAAGGTTTCTGTAAAGTATTCTTGATTTTATATAGATTGATATTATTACAAACAGTGTGTACCTGAAATTATTAAACAATTTGATGTTAATTACCTGTATGGTGGAAAACTTTCACTAAGTACTTCTGGGTGAACTTGAAAGTAAGTTACACTTACTGAAGGTTAATCTGTATCCAGCTTATAAATATATGTGGGGTGGGGCAGGTATTCTCAAGTATTTAACTCCCTGTAGTGATTAACAGGTAACTTATCCATATGTTATCCAGCAAACAGATGATGAAAATACTCAAACTTATCAAGAAGAAGTTGTGGTCTTGATCTAACCCCAAATTCTG